AAAGTGATCCTTCAGAAGAAGGATAAAAGCAGAAATCGTCAAGTTTCGAGTACTGGTGTGATATTTGTCGAATGCTCTCCGATGCTTAAGTCAACGAGTGTGGGGTACACAATAATTTTGACAGAGTAACAATAAAGGTAAAAAGTAGTTACCTTTTTACTTAGGCACTATTCCTATTTTATAGAGAAATGAAAGAGGGAGTTTGCACAAAGTTTCGATATGGAACTTTGTGCAAATCACTATGGTGGCGACACATGTCTAAGGCTTAGGTTCTGTAGTTGAAAGCCCAACAACCGCCTTCTACAAGCAATTGCCTCATAGGAGGAAGGTATCCTTTTGGCGGGCTGGGATCATGATGACGTCATCAGTGTTTTGGGGATTGCCCTAAAAGTGTTTTTCTTTTGGTAGGTAGTGGGTCTGTCTATGCACCAGTCTCCTAGTACCGAATGTGCTCGGTTGATTATGGTACAAACATATTTAAGTTCAGAACTTCCTTCAACAAAGTGAAGAAGGAATACTACTAGACCAAATGACGTTGACATCAGAGTTGAAACTTAAAAGAATTTTAAGCTTTCATTCTCTTTCCTTCTTAAAAAAAAATTTTATGCTAAAAGTCACTTTTGGTCCTTGTAGTTTGGCACTTCAACCACTTTTGACCCTATAGTTTCAATTCAATCAATTTTTACCTTGTAGTTTCGTATTTGTAGCAATTCAAGGACAAGTTAGTATTCTTGTCAATTTCTTTGACGGTGCAAAGGGCAATTTCGTCAACCCAAAATCCTTGAGCATAAAAGCTCGTCTGAAACTCCCCTAATTTCATATTAGAGCTTGAAATTAGTCATTTGGGTTCATGGTTCTTCAAAAATTGGAATTAATGGTTGAATTTCGAGCCCTAATATAAAATGGGGAGAATTTCAGACAAGCTTTTACTCTCAAGGGTTTTGCGTTGACAAAATTGTCCCTTGCATCATTAAATAAATTAACAAGAATATTAACATGTCCTTGAATTGCTACAAATACGTAACTACAATGGCAAAATTGACAGAATTGAAACTACATGGTCAAAAGTGGTTGAAGTGCCAAACTATAGGGACCAAAAATGACTTCTTTTTTTTTTTTTTAATGTATTGTTAATTAATGTCCAATAATTTAATAAACAATTTTTTTCCAGTCATTATACCATATTTCTCAATCCCGTTCTCCTAACCCTCGTAGTCAAAGGAAACTGTGGTCAATCACCCTTAGATCTAATCTAAAGGTTAAAAAAAAAAACTAATTTAAAAATTATAATTGTATCATAAAAAAACTATTTTAGTTGTTAAAAATAAGTTTTAAAAAAACCAAACAACCACCACCATCATCCGATTGGAAAAAGGCAGAATAAGCCATAAGGAATGGATTTGACCGTCAAAGTATAATTAAAATGTTGAATTTCTATTTCCAAAATAAGCCGTAAAGAATGGAAAGCTAATTCCTTGAAAATATACACAAACAGTTTGGTCCACGTATTTTAAAAGTCTATACTTTACAACTTTATAAATTATGAATTAATACACTATTGGCCCTTCCGTCAAGTTAACATTAATTTTTTTGATGTAGCACTCAGTTGGTCTATTTTTCGTTAAGATTGTCTTTAAAAAAGAAGTTCTTATTTGTTGCTCCTCTGACACATGTTAATCCACGTGGCATCAACCTAGTGCTTAAGTAAGCAAAACAAAAAAGGCCAACCGAGAGCCATGTAAATAAATAGTGGTTTACTCGATAGTTGGGTGAACGGAAGGACCAATGGTGTAACAATTTGTAATTTGTAAGGGTTCACGTCACCAACTTTTAAAAGACAGAAACCAAACCTTATTAGATGACCCAAACAACTAGGGGTGCAAAATGTAATTGACCCCGACAAGAAAAAAGGATACCAAAAAACTTGCGGTGAAAATACAATCGTATTCGTACCAATTGTGCCCAAAAACGCTTTAGTGTTTTGACTTTGAGAGTGATTGAATAAGATTCATCGACCTTAACTCAAGCCAAAAGTCCCTCGACTCAAAAGTCACTTGACTCAAAAATTGTAGCTTTGAAAAAATCCTCTCAAAACTATTCAAAAATACAAAAACTTAGGCCTTACAAAATCAAATAGGCCCCCTATATAAAGTATGGTTCTCAAAGTAACCAAAACAAGAGGAATATAGATGTGGTTTCAGTATGAGGAAGCTTGGTGTAGTAATAATAATGGTGGTCTCTCCCTCCTCCTGATCTCTCTCCTTCTCTGGGCTTCCCCCTCAAAATCATGCCTTTGGTGATCAAGTAAATTAATGAAACGCACGTTTCATTGGGCACGAATCACGGTGCTGGATGAGGCATGTAGGATTAATTAAGTGCTCGTCTAAAATTCCAACCACTTCGGCCATTTACTGGGATTGTTACTTAAGATGTTTCTGTAAGGGTTATTTTCGTTTTTATCGGCCTAGTTACTACAACATTGGCACTACTTATTTCGTGAAAGCCCACTATATTGGTGCTAATGCATGCTATATTGGCAATATCCATTCTAGTTACCGACGTGTACCATCATTGGGCAAATTAAAATTGATGATAAAACTGAAAAATATGACCTTTAAAATGATAAGTATTATGTCACGTGCCATATAAGTTGGTAACAAAGTTGGCGCCCTAGCATTATTGCACAGCATGTAAACTTTTTCAAAAATATCATGTCCGTGTTTCCGTCTACCACGTATATGTACCTGTGACCCCAAAAGAATACAGGCATTTGAAATTGTCCAATCCCAATCACACTCACTGACAAGATGTGGAGTTAAACAGCCTTCAAAGTTAACAATGACACTCAAACTACTAAGTTAAAGGAGTAAAGCTATCTTCAAGGGAACAATACCATGCAAGTCCAAGAGCCAAGGATGCTAAATCACTAAATGACTATACAATCTTTTACATTACAATGGAAGAAGCTAAGAGAGTACAATATCAGCTCAACTAGCTTGAAGAAACAAATGTCTAGAACCCCTTGGGGTTAGCCCAAGTGGAGAGGGAGGGTATGGAAATGGGTTAGGATTCCAAAGGTCCTACTTATACTACATCTCTTAAGTCATTTCATAAAGCTGGACTAGAGTCGAGCTCAACAGGGTCTTCTTTCCCCACTGATTCTGTCAAGCCCGATATGGTAGGCAAGGGTTTGATCCCTTCCAATGTAAACTACAAAGAAAGAAACAAATGTGTCTAACCTACAAACATTCTGCACCTGGTGGTAGATCTTAACCTTCTATACTGTTCAACGACAACTTTCATCTTCTTGCACGTGCCAGAAACACCTGCAGTTTCTACACAGCATTAGCAATGCCAATGCGTAATTGAAAAATTCAATTAATACTCAAGTGTCAATTGAACAAAATGAAGAGATAATCCAAGGACAATATAAGTTGTTCTTATGTTCAACAATTTGGTCACGATTCTTGTCTATGATAAAAAGTAAACTAAAGAGTTCCGATACAAGACATATCACTTAGATTATCGGTCATGATAACTACCATCAAGATGGAGATTAATAGTGATCCAAGAATAATCAAGGAGAATTTGCTATTTTCTTGACTCAAGACAGCCCCATGCAATCACAAATGACGAACAAATACTCAAATAGAATCGGACACTTCATAACACTACGTAAATTTATACACTCTGTCAGTCCCACATATTCAAATTTAAGTACACTTATAAACCAACAAAAACAATCCCTGACAATGAATTTAACTACAAAACACTAAACAAAAACCCCATGCCATGCCAAAACATAAACGCAAGGCTTGATTTGCAGAAAATGCCAACAAGCAAAATACACAGACAGCAACACAAGCAAGGTTCAAAGGTACACTTACAAATGGTTAAAGAAGAAACTAACAATAAGGGCCTAACAAAAGCAGAAGCAATATAAGGCCTAACGTATATAAAGGTAAAGAGAAACAAAAGGAAAAAAGAGACAAGCCCTGACGTCTTTTTTTTCTTGTCAAATTGGGTTTTTGATAGAGTTATAACTGGGGGCTTCCGACCCTTATCTTCTTCCTCCCAATGAGAAAGAGAGGAGGGAAAGCTTTGTGAGTGCGTGAAAAAAGAAAAAGAAAAAAAAGAAGAGAGATTCTGCCTTCAACATTATTTCCAGAAACAAGTAATCTCTTTCATTTTCCAAGAAAAGTGTTTAGTTTGCCTGGTCGGATGGTTCAATTATTGATCCTAAAAATTTATACACTAAATTTTGGTGGGTCCCTAGTTTAGTTCTGTATAGGCTCCTAGGAGATGATGACCCCCAATTACTACTAGGTAGGTCGTCAACAACTAGCTTGAATCTTATTTGAGTTTATAATCCACATAAGTACCTCTGCAGATCCTTCTCTCTGAATTCCCGGTATTCAGCTGTCTTCCTTGGTTCTACCCTTCTATTCATATAGTAGATCGCCGGTCTTTTTCTCTCTTGTTTTTTCTGGGTATTGATTAATACCAGCACATCATCTCTCCAGCAAGAACGATGGAAGGCTTCAGATACACATTGTTATAAACTATACATGCTTATCTGCTACTAGACGGACCTTATTCAAAGACTCTTTAAACGCCTGCCAAGTTACCATATAGTGATCCTGAGAAATCATCCCTTCCTGAACAACTTGCATCGCTCTTCTATACAAATGATCAAACCACTGAACTGGGTTTGTGATATCAACATTATTGCTCCCAAGATCTGGTACATACAACCGCTTAAAGTCTTTTCTCCATCTCGACAAGATATACTGAAACGGTATTTCTTCCACACCATTATAGTTCAGGATGCATAAGGCGTGTCGGCATAGGTAGCCATTTAAATTAAAGCAACTGCACATACAACGAACTTCTGCTCCTGCTTTGTCATACATAACTTCAAAGTTCCTATTATTATCCCTCATAATTTCCTCCCCTTCACGTTCTTTGATCATGTATGTCACAAGTGGTCCATTTGTGTGAACTTGAGTTATGCTAAAGCAAGAAGTCATCATCACAACCTCATGTTGAAACTTTAGGAATACATCTTTTGTGTAAAACTTAGAGAGTTGCAACTCGTAATAGCATCTTGTTCTTAACATTGGAGTCAATTCTCTCGACTCAAAATCATTATGAGCTTCTTCCTGACGCTTCTTTTCTAAAACTACATCATAAACATCAAGAAACTCTTCCAACGAAGTTTGTTGATGCACATAACCATCGAAAAATGGGTTTGTGGACTCAGCTTTCTGAAAATTGGGCATTACAGCAAAAACTGTGTCTTTTGAGTAAACTGGAACCCATCGCTCTCGATCATCATACAAAGTTTGAATAAACTCATGATCCCTTATTCCAAATCTCTGAATCATATGCTCCCAAGCCAATTCAAACTCATCTACTTTTATTGAGTCACATACAGTCCTACTCAAAATCATTTGAAATGCCTCATATTCTTGTATTGCTCCCATATTCTCAAGAATACTTTGCATGACATGTGAAGAAGAAAGACGATGATGAGCCCTGGGAAATACCTCTGCTAGAGCACTTTGCATGGCCTTGCACTGGTTTGTGATGATAGTTTGTGGAGGACGACCAGACATACATGTAAGCCACGCCCTAAATAACCATATATAAGTTTCTAGTGTCTCATCGCCTAGCAAACCACAACCAAGCAAGATAGTTTGTCCATGGTGATTTACTCCAACAAATGCAACAAGTGGAATCTCATAATTGTTTGACAAGCATGTAGTCTCAAATGAAACCACGTCACCAAAGTAATTGTACGCTGCCCTAGACCTGGAATCAATCCAAAACACATTCCTCAAATACCCTTCATCATTGAGATCGATCACATAGAAAAAATTAGGATCGGTTAGCTGAACCCGGCAAAAATACTTATAAATTGCTCTTGCATCTCCATTTTTGAGTTTCAATCGCTTGGACCGATCAACATGGTTGTTAGTTTCTCCCTCGTTTGAGTTTGAGCTTCCATAACCAACTGCATCTACGACAGGCGTCCGATATAACTTGATTGTGCGTACTTCAACATCAACAGTTGGCTCCATCTTTCTTTTAGCTCCTGAGTCCATCCTCTTGTGCGACTTGGAGTTCTGAGCTCTTTCAGGATCGAATAAATGGTTGTGTTCAAGCTTGACTTCATCCACTCTCCATCTGTTTGATTCTACTAATCTCAACCTTATCATTGCTAGACAGCCTGTTCTTGTTTCTTTCTTGCGGCTGTTTGCTTCTTTAATTGTTTTAAAACCCTCACAATTGCAACAGAGCACTGCACCACGCTTCTCCTTGCTGTTACGCTTTGTCCACGAGGATTTCACCCTGATAGCAAATCCAAGTTCCTTAGCATAGCAATTATAATAATTGTAAGCATCATCATATGAATCAAACTCTAAACCCACAACTGGTGGGGGATAGGCCTTTTCTTGAGATCCACCATTTTGATAATCAATTATTGTTCTATCATCCCTGCTACTTTCATGGTCATTGCCTTCAATTTCAAACAGATGCTCATTTATATCACCTCCGTCATTTTCATGGTCATTACTTTGAATGTCAAATAATTGATCACTTGTATCATCTCTTTCACTTTCAGGCTCATTGCCTTCAATCTCAAACAATTGCTCGCAGTCATTTTCAAGGTCATTGTTTTCATTCTCCAGCAGTTGCTCGCTGTTTTGAGAACCTTCTTGTATCTGCAATAGTAAACAAGTCATTAATTCTTAAGATAATCCAAAGACAAGCAGAATTTATGAAAGATAAGAAAAAAAATATGGAACCATAGCATGCCAATCAAGTCATTGCTTGGTTTTCTTTTTAGATGCATTGCTCCTGATGGACTTCTAGTCCATCTTGTTTTCTAATTTCTTTCTAATAGAACTGTTGTCACTTATCAAGTAAATAGCTTGCAAACCAAGCATGCATATGACCGCCATTTTGTTGTTGCAAAGTGACAGAAAAGTCTCATCTTGTTCAGTTTATGATTCTTATCTTTCTTCTAATACGCGTAGCTCAGTTGCCCCTCTCTCTACATGTACGTACAGAACATACGCAAAACTCTGATGCGTTTATGATGTATCGAAAACTCCCTTAAATATTGTTTTCTGGCTGTTCCTTTGCTATGAAAAAAGTAGGCTCTTTGTTATTGCGGAGTGATAGAAAAATCTCAATCCTATTATTCACTATATGATGTTTATCTATCTTCAATAAATGTAGCTCAGTTCGTCAGTACCCTCCCTGTCAATCCCCTCAACGCACAGACCAGATGCAAAATTCGGATGCTTATCTGTTGTATCTAAAGCTCCGTTGCATAATTCTCTGCTACTTTCATTTAAAGTTTCGATCTTTTTTAAATTTTAGAGTGATTCAAAAAGAAACTGAATTCTTCCATTTGGTTGCCAACTGTAAATTTCCGATTTTTTTTTTTCTGTCACAGCTTTATTCAAGCAAGCTAAGTACTTCCCAGTATCTGAATTTCCAAACCTACTCCATAATTTTTAAATTTTGAATCCCAAATGGTTTTTATCTACCTTTCCATTGAAAATTCCTTTTCTTAACCCTAATTTTTTCAGGAATCAAACAGAAAGTGAACAATGTAAGATAAATTGTAAGAACAATTACAAGCAGAGTGGATGAAGAAGGTAACGCGAGCTTACAGTGATATGGAGGTTAGAGTTTGCTGAGAAGGCCTGGTCGCTCGGAGAAAAAGTGTTTTCGCCGGTCATGGTTTGAGCTTTGAGCACGCCTTCTGTCAAAGTTGTGTGACCTTAGTTTTACCCTCAACTGCTGGGACCGGTTTTTTGCTTTTTTCTTTTTTCTTTTGGATTTAAGTCCTTCATTTTTCTCGTAATTGCAAATTAATAAATGGATTAAATAATCAATAGTTTCTTTTTTCCCGTTAATGAATGCAAAGTGGCGTAGGTACAATGTTTTATAATATATATTCAAGGTTTTGTGTTTTATTCAGTATTTTGGATTTTTCTAATACAATGAAAAATGTAAATAAAAAAAGGGAATTTGAACCCACGACATATGTATTGAGACATGATAGTATATCGTATTTGTATTGGTTCAATGATGCTAGAGGCTAGAGCCATTAATTTGATTTGAAACAATTTTCATACAAAGCAATATTGCGGAAAATCAAACGCAATGCAAGTATAAAATGAGTGATCTCGATCACTTGGGTTGGAAGTAACATTTTTTGTTCTTCATTAAACTTGGACCATCTCCGATTCAAATTGTGTTAAACTCAAATTTCCTCCTTCAAAATACAACTATTCATGTATTGCTCGACTCAAACGATTTTTTTTTCAATCCTGTGAATTCAAAATGGGAATTCACAGCTTTATTAAATTGTTTAAAAATATTTTTTTTTTTTTTGTCATTAATTTTTCTTAGAGGTAACATATTTTGATGAAGGGCACTTAAACACATGCACAAGACATGCATAAAGAATCTATATATATAAAGCGAAAAGCAGAGAATGGTGAAACATTCAAAATACTAGAAAATGTCATTGATTAATGCAAAAATTAAAAATTAAAAATATTAATTAAATGATGATAATATGATAAATTCATACTTTTTCATAGTAAATTCACACTAGTTGGCAGAAAGAAAATTCCTTTGTGTGATTTTAGTTTGGGTCAAAAAGTTGTGCAAATTATAAACGCGTGGTTGGGAAAGAATGAACTTGAGCAAGCTAAACTTTGGCAACAGACTACAGTGGTACCTGTATCTACTCATTTTCAAACCGTTGGTTCTCAACTTCCAAGCTCCAACAGCCACAACCAGAAAAAATGGCTTGGGCTCTTCTCTCTCTGCCTCTCAACCTCCCTCCCTCTTATTCCCCTCAGTCCTCCATACTCAATCCTTTCAAACCCAAATCCCAAATAGGCTGGCTTGCAAGTTGTAGTGGCAGTAGAAGAAGAGCAAGAGTCATAGCCAGTGCTGCCGACCAGGAAAAAACCGAGGACAAAGACGAAGACAAAGACTCGTCAGCTTTCAATCCCTTTGGCTTTGTCACTGATAACCCGTCAAGCCGCAGCGCCATTCAGATCATTGAGAGCCCTGCAGAGTCTGGCAATGTCGGCCAAATGCTTTATGTAAGCTCTAGTTTGAGTTAACTGTTTTTATGAAGAATTGCTGACGAATTCTCTTTATTGATGTATTCAATCTTATGATATTGTCTATTTGTCAACAGATTTCAATTAAATTTAAAATAGTGTCATTGTTAAAGCAATTCTGAGAATTGTATAGATATATCATATAAGCCATTGATACAAGTGCTTTTGCATAGAGTTACTAGAATCTTGTGAACTTTAACAAGGGAACCACACAAGGTTGTGAATGTTGAGTCAATGTTTGCTTTGGAATTACTCGTAGCTTTAATGAAAGTTGAAAGATGGAATTTGGATTTTGGACTTTGGAATGCCATTGATGCACAAGATAGAAGTTATAGCATACTATGAAGGAAAAAGTCTTTCACCAGACTCATAAAAAAAAATTCTTTCACCAGAAAATAGTATGCAATACCATCATGGCTGTGGAGTTCTTGAATTTGTAGTCATTCAGAAATGTGCTCTAAATTTTTCATGTGACATGCTATTATTTGAAAGTTGATATATAGCCAGATATTTGTAAATATTTAATTTCTTGCTTTTGACTCTAGAGGATAGAAGACAAGGGGAAGGAATATGGAAAATACGTCAGATCGGGGGAGCATGTATGGTTTGTGAGAGAAACTGGTAAAAAAAAATTACGTTGCCACATTATACTAGTTCCTCTGGAACAGTTATCTTTCTTCATGGTGCTCCCACACAATCTTATAGCTACAGAAACGTTATGTCTCAGGTCTAGCTGAATTTCGTTTTCGATGTTATAGACTACTTCTATTTATTTTGCTGATTTTGGCTTATTGTAAATACTTAGGGCAGAAAGCTTAAGAAACTGTAGAGTAGATAATCCATGTTACAATCTTTTGACCACACCTACATGCTCAGACATTCTCTTGAATCTCTAGTCTATGAATTTTTTTAGACTACTCTTTTCTTGAATATCATTCAAAAAAAATTCATGTTCATGTAATTTGAGTCTTTATTGTGACTTAGTCTGCCTTAGCTGTCAAATGATTGCTGCTAAACTTCTTAATCATTACCTTTATCTTGAATAGATGTCAGAACTTGGGTTCCACTGCTTTGCACCTGATTGGCTAGGATTTGGTTTCAGTGACAAGCCACAGCCTGGATATGGATTTGATTACAAAGGTATATTCTTTTAGTAGAAGACTTTTCATGTCAGAATTTTTATTTCGAGGGGAGCCTCCTATAATGCTCTTTTTGTATATAAAAAAAATATTGGTTTCCGCTACAGAAGAGGAGTTCCATGAAGAATTTGACAAATTACTAGATGTGCTGGGGGTCAAATCTCCTTTCTATCTGGTCGTTCAGGTTTGAACACTTGTAGAAGACAAGCTATTGGACTGGTGTTTGTCATGAAAGATATTCTGGTTCAAAAGATTTCAGTAAAGTCTAGTCAAGCTATTGTTAAATCTATGTTATAGGTTCTCTTGTAATTAAACTATGTATCTTACATGCTTTAATTCTCCCCTTGAAGGGATTTCTTGTAGGTTCATATGGATTGACATGGGCCTTAAAAAACCGAAGCAGAATATCAAAGCTCGCAATTCTAAATAGTCCACTCACAGTTTCATCTCCTGTTCCTGGACTGTTTAAGCAACTAAGGTTTGATGTTCTTACTTGAAAAAAATAACATGATATTAAAAGCCAGGTTTACCTCTTGACATGTTTTTTCTAATGAAGAACTGTTTCTGCCATGAAGGTAAAAATACTAGTTACAGTTTTTACGTTATCCTCGAATTCAAGTTAATTAGACGACATATTTATTGAAATATTTCAAGAGAAAGGCATGCTTAACCAAACGCTAGGGCACATCCAAGTAGAAAACATGGATGATTAAAAGTTCAATTATTTATTGCATCATGATGAAGGAGGATTGAGGCTTTACACGTTTTCTCTTTTTGAGCTGATCAGACATTTAACAGTTAGTTTCTAATTTTCTTTGTACTATCTATTTCTAAATTTTCATTCCAATTTTCTTTTGATTCTTTTCAGAATTCCTCTTTTTGGTGAATTTACATGCCAGAATGCTGTTATGGCAGAGCGCTTTATTGAAGCAGGTAGCGCGTACGTATCTAGTTCTTTTATCCAGTTCTGTGGAATCACATAAGATATATCTGTCTTGTTGGCCATGGAAAGCATATTAACAACCTAGCTGCTAATTTTTCCTTTCCTTCCCAATAGCAAATGCTGCTATTAGTATGTAAATAAACTGAAAGCAGCACTCAGCTACATCTAAACTGAGGATGCTTGTACTTTTTTCAGGCCCTGAGGATGCTAGTATTTGGTATTAGGCATTGTGTTAAGTGGATAAAGATGTCAAACCTTAGGTTTCAACATATGCATATTTTCCATGGTGCTATAACCAAAGCATTGGTAATGCAAAAGGCATGTAACAGACTAAACTAAATTTATCAAACAACCGAGTTTCTAACAATATTGGAAGTAAATAAAACTTAAAGAAGGAAAAAAGAAAAAAAGCATCATTGACATATCTAATGAGATTTGGCATAGCTCTTACAAAAAGCATGTCTTCATATCTAATGAGATTTGGCATAGCTTTTACAAAAAGCATGTCTTCATGTCTAATGAGATTTGCCGTAGCTCTTACCAAAAGCATGTCTTCTTTCAACAGTTACGTCTTGAAGCTAGAAAAGGCTGATGTGTACCGGTTACCATATCTTTCAAGTAGTGGACCTGGATTTGGTTTGTAATCCATTTCTTCAGAGGACCCTATTATTCAATGTTTACATTTTTAGATTTCTAATAAATAATTGTGCCCTTTAATCTCTGAAGTAATGTTGAGTTGAAGTTAATTATGAGTATGAGCAGAATTAAGGTTCTCTTAACCTTTCAAATATCATTTTTTTTATCAATATTTCAGCTATACTTGAAGCGACAAGAAAGGCCAATTTCAATAATATATCAACCCAAATAGCATCTGGCTTTGCATCAGGAAGGTATACCTTTACTGTGTTATCTTTTAAATACGTTGGCTCTCGTTTGCATGCTTTTTTCATATGTTTATAGCTTTGAACTCGAAAGGTTGACAGATTTAAAATGACAATTTGAGCCTATAAAAAAGTTCTCTGGAATTTAGAATAACAGCTGCCAGACTTTGTTATAACCTAAAGGAAAATTCATGTGTTATAAGTCAATACCTAACTCAAGTTAACGTGGAGAGATGATAATATGAAGAAAGGCTCCGATGGTCAAATCATAGACAGTTTTGTGGGATTCTATTTCTGTTTTTCAGATGTTAAAGAGGAGAAACTTGTACATCTATTTGTCTTTACTGTTTTGATTAATATTTGCCTCAAAGTAACATTATACCTAAAAAAATTGCACCTTTTTTGCATCCTCTAGTCTAAAGAATTCTGTGACACAAGATGTTTCAGCCAAGAATAGATAGCTTAGCGTTTTATTTGTGCCTCTATAATATCGTTGAATTGTATAAAATCTGTCCAAAAAAAGAATTGTATAAAAAGTCGTTTAGCTGAGAGTGAATGTGCACAATTCAAATTTATAAAGTATCTAGAGTTCTGTTTTTACCTCAGATTGGCCATTTACTGCATCCATAGTGATAGGTCTCTTATCAACTTGATGATTGTCA